TGCAGGAGTTTATTCATTCAATAGTCACTTTAGGATAGTTTTCTTGTTGGAATAAATACTTTTGTAAGCATCCATTTAACAAAGGGTACAGGAATGAGGCAGATGCAATATAAATAAAACCAGATCTAGCCTTCAAGAAACCAACAATGTAGTGAATCAACAGACACGCAGGCAACTAACTACTGGGAGGAGTAAATAAGGGTTATCAAAATCCTAGGAAGCACTGGGGAGGAAGGGATTGATCAGACTGCAGGAAAGTGAGGGAAGCGTCTGCAACTGCTGGCAGGACAGAGAACAGGAACCATTAGGCAGATTTAAATTTAGAAAATGCATTCATTGATAGTATCCACACAGAACATTTGGTTCGCACAGCCCGGGTCCTCTCCCACTGAAATTACCACACAACCTGTTTTGTACACCGAGGGTTAGAACATACATACATACACATTGACATGAAGAATAAAATTTGAAACAAAACCACCTGCAAACCAATGTCTTGGCCGAGTAGAAACATTTTTAGCATTAGGACTAGCACACCTGGGGAGGGTCCGGGCGAGGAGAGGAGGCCTGCGTGGGAGACCGAGCCCAGCTGGGCGCGGCGTGGAGTCAAGGAGAGGAAGCTGGCCGGGCGGGGGATAGGGGGGAACCACCTGCCTGGGCGGGGGTCCCCTCCCGGAGGGCAGGGGGAGGGCGGGGGCTGAGGCGTCTGCCATCCCCTCGTCTCGCCCCCATTTTGGGTCCGCCGGGCCAGGCCCGAGGGCGGGCGCCGCGCGCTTGGTTTCTGTGGGGCAGGGATGCAGGGATGTTCAACCCACCTGGTCCATCTTGGGCATCACCTTATACAGGGCCCCCATCCGGAAGCGCAGCAGGTTATAAAACTCCTCCGGGTGCCCCAAGCACTTGACAAACTCCATGTTGACGTCAGGACGCGGGGCCTCGATGATCACCTGGTTTATACCTCCGGACGGCACCCGACACCGGGCTTAGGCACGGGAGGCGCGGCGGGCGGGGCAGGGACGGAGGCGGGCCCAACGCGGCGTCGGCACGCCCACCTCCCGCCCATCTTAACGGGCTTCGGGCTCTCGAGCCGCTTCCGGCGGGCTTACGAGGTGGACTGACGAGCGCTGATTGGCCGGGGCGGTTCGCACCAGGAAGATGCTGACTAATCGGCGGCAGGATCGGCCTGGCGTGATGGAGATGAGCCGGGAGCTAACTGAACGGTGAGACAGAGGCAGACGAACCGGATTGGTGCTCCTCCTGGGGGCGGGCTTTGCTCTCCTCCGCTGCCCTCCCCGGGGCTGGGGGCGCGCACCCCGCAATCTCCGATCTCCCGATCGGCGTCCGGGGAGGCTCTGCGGAGACGAGCAGACCGGGCCAGCGTCCGCCACGGTTTCGGTCAGTAAGGCCTCCGTGTGTCTTGTCTGTCCCGCAGGCCAGACTAGCTCTTCCCGGGCGGGGCGCGCTGTGTGGGCGGTCGCGCCCGACTGCCCAACGAGCCCATCCACGAGTTGCCGGGCTTGTCAACAAAACGCGAATCAACAGCTGGGCCAACTCACCTGTCAGACAAACTCCCTGTGTGTTCCCAGAAAGCGCTTTCACTTCTCTGTCAATCGCTCTGTGGTGTGGTAGGTGGCAGAAAGGCCCCCCCACGGGTCTGGCCAGGGGGATCAGGCCATTCCTGGGTTCAGCAATCTCAGTACTCGAGTTTTGGCCAAGAAAAGAAATGAGAGCCAAGACTCAAACTCGCTAGAGATTTTTTTGGGCAAAGAGAAAGCACATTAGCCGGGACCGGTTTGGCTCAATGGATAGAGCATCGGCTTGGGGACTGAAGGGTCCCGGGTTCGATCCCTGTCAGGGGCATGTACCTTGGTTGCGGGCATGTCCCCAGTGGGGGGTGTGCAAGAGGCAGCTGATCGATGACTCTCTCTCACCGATGTTTCTAACTCTCTATCTCTCTCCCTTCCTCTCTGTATAAAAATCAATAAAATATATTTAAAAAAAAAAAAAGAGAAAGCACATTGGAAAGAAACTTCCAGCGGGGGGGGGTGTGTGGGTGTGGGGGGGCCCTCAAAGAGCAGCCCTGGAGAGTGGGGTAGGCTCCTTTTAATCCCAGAGGAGTTCACTGCTTTCTTCTTCCAACTGACCTACTGGGGCCTGTCCTGTGGATGGTCTACAGTCCTTGCATTCCAAGTTAGATGGAGCTTTCCTCCTCCTCTCCCCCTCCCCCCCAGCTCTCCTCTAAGGAGACTAATCACGTGACTAACCACCTGCCCAGGAAGAAAGATCAGGAGAATTTGACTTGCAAGACCCAAGGCGTTGGGGTTGGGGTGTGTGTGTGTGTGTGTGTGTGTGTGAAGATGGGTATTAGGGAAAAGTTCTTGAAGAACAATACTTATCTCCAGTACCTGCCAATCTAGGGTGAGAAGGACATCTTAGGAGCAAGATCTTGAATATCTCCAGTACCTGCTATACCAGTTTTTTTCCATTGCTAGATGTTCAGGGCCGTTTGCCTGGGTGACTTTCTGTAACTGGCCCATCGTCCTTGCTCTGCTCATGTCTATCTAACTGCCTACCACATGGCCATTAGAGTTTCAGCTGCTCTCTTCTAAATGTTTATTTTGGACCCACTTAAGTCCCCCACAAAAAGGTTTGAAGCGTGGACAAAAGGGGCCACCTGCTGACCTGACAAGCTCAGGGCAGTCTTGCAAACTCAGAGACCTAAAGACCAAAGAATGCTTTGAAATTAAACTTTTAACTAAAAGCAGTTATGGTGGGTAGTTACATCCTAGGCCAGTATCTTCATTGACAAGATCAATTAACTGAGCCTATATAATTTACTTTAACTGAGCCTATATGTCTTTAAATAAGTGAGGCATGTGGCCCGACAGCAGTTGAGTTTGACATACTTGGTTTGCTCCACTCGCCCTGTGATATTTTCCCCCCAAGATATCCATTGGCTAATTCCTTCACCTCCTCAAGTCTTTGCTGAAATCTTACCTTCTCATTCAGGCCCACACCAGTCAACCTATCACCACCTCTGCTGATCCTCCATCCTACTCTAAAATTTTCCGGGAACATTTATCACATTCTAACGTACTTACGATGTTTAGTGGCTGTTTTCCCTTACTGGAATGTAAGTTCAATGATAACACGTCTTTGTTTTATTCATGCACTTACCTCCAAGCATCTAGAATCATGCCTGGCACATACTCGGTGCACAATGAATACTTATTGAATAGCGCTGCTGTCTAAGCCTGTCAGAGAGGAGGCTACAATGTGTGTGCCATTGGCCCCTGTCAACAGTGGGACCCCAGCAAGTTCCTCGGCCTTTCTAGACTTCAGTTTCCTCATCTATAAAACAAGAACACTCTCTTCATGTGTTTTGTTGTTGAGTTTTATTGCAGCTTACATAAGCACTAGGCTAAATGCTCTACATGGTAAGCAATCAGTACATATGAACTATTATACAGGTTATATAGGTCTGCCATGAAGAGACTTCCCTCTGTTGACAACTCTAAATTCCTAAGACAGAGGAGAGAAAAGGAAAGCCAGACATATTGGCCACTGTTTGTAATTCACTCGCAAATCACCGTTTTCTACATGCCACAGACTAGGGCCCAGAAGTGAACTCCATCTCCGCTTCACCAGCTCTCCTGGAGGGGCAGAAGGGCAAGTGTGTGCTCACCCCTTCCCTCTCCCCCACCCCTTACCCCTGCTTTTTTTTTCTTTCCTTTTCTAATTGAATGTATTAGGTAACATTGGTTAGCAAAGTTATACAGGTCGTCTCAGGTGCACAATTCCACAACACATCATTTGTACACTATACTGTGTGTTCGCCATCCCAAGTCAAATCTCCTTCCATCACCACTTATCCCCCCTTTACCTTCCTCCACCTCCCCTACCTCTTGCCCCATTCCTTTAAAGTGGATCCACCAGGCCACTTCAACAAGTCCTATGCAGCCAAAGAACTCAGTTCCTTATATTTTAAGGACTATTCTTGCCAAATAAAGGTGACAACAGGAAATATCGAACAGCTTTATTTAAATGTCCTAGTTTCTTCCAGCTGTTGCTAACACCTTTACACTGTGATTCCACAACCTTGATTCCTGCTGGTTCCACATAGCAATGGTCACAAATATATCACCTCAGGAGGAAACAAGCAGCTTTGTACTAAAGCCCCCTGGGCACATCAGAAAGGTGGCCAGCTCCCCAACCCCTTCCCCGCCCCCCCTCCCCCCCAAGCATGACCCTTATGCTACTCCTTCCTCATCCCTGGATCTCTCTAGGGGGATGAAGAAAGATAATTCCGTGTTCCTGATTCTCAAATGGAGGGCCTTAAAGCAACCAAAGTTTCAAAACCAAAACCAAACCAAACAGAGCAATGGTTGGGTGGGGCACAGCTGTTTTCCACAGACTTATATTTTCTTTCCCATAACTGTCAACATAACTTTTCTCATCTTTCCCAATGGCAGAATTAGGAAGAATTAAACAACACTTAAAAAAATAATCGAACCGCTGAAAACTCAACTTCAGTGAGATGAATATCAACAGGACTGATACCCTCTGGACCCACCCTCACCGCTAACTCCTGCCCCTAGTCCCAATCCCTGCCCACACCTCCTTTCTCTACACTCAAGCATCAAGCTCCCTGAAGGGCGAGGTTTTGTAAAGAAGGGACCCAAGGGCCCTAGGAAAGCTGGGCTTGCTCTGGCTCGTCGGGTGGCAGCCTGGGCTGGCACTGGGGACACCACCAGGTGAGCCTCTGGAAGCCACCTGGAGGCCCAAAGGCCTCCTTCCTGACCTGGTGCCCGGCAGGGCACTGCTCTTTCTGGTAGATCTGCGTGTGGTTCTGTCTGCCCTGGAACTTGCCCTGAAGCCAGTCTGTACTGAACTCCACCACATGATCCACAAGGACCTCAAGTTGCCGAGGACTGAGGAGTGAGCCGAGAGAAAGGGGATGGATCCCAGCTCTGTACAAGGCTTCATTCTTAATGATGTTCCCTGAAAGAAAGCAGGGAGAGGACAAGGGAAGAATCAAGGACACGTCTGCAATGAAGCCAGCCCACAAAGTTAATGAAGCAGACTGAAGCTGGTGTGAGGGCAGCAGGGAAGAGCCTGAGGAAAACGGGAGCCAGGGCAGCAGTGCTCGGAAGCTCTTGGGTAAGTCTCAACATCAATCCTCGAGTTGATGTCCCTGTCTATAAAATGGGTTTGGTGCCTAGCTGGTTTGGGTCAGTGTATCGGCTTGTGGACTGAAGGGTCCCAGGTTTGAATGTGATCAAGGGCACATGCCTGGGTTGTGGGCTCCATTTCCAATGGGGGGTGTGCAGGAGGCAGTCCATCAATGCTCTCTCATCATTGATGTTTCCATCTCTCTCCATTCCTCTCTGAAATCAATAAAAATATTTTAAAAATAAGTTTGATAATACTTTTAAGGCTGCTGTGAAGATAAAAGGAGATAAAACTCATGCATGGCCCATGTTACAGCAAAGCAGTTATCAAAACAGGCTCTGGAACCCAACTACCTGGATTTAAATCCCAACTCATCCAGAGCCTAGCTATGTGGCCCTGGCAAGGTTCTCAGCTCCTTTAGGCTCCAGTTTCCTTATCTTTAAAATGGGATGCTACCTAGCTTTGGTGAGCAGTAAAGAGAATTTACACACACAAATGCTGAGCACAGTGGCTGGTATATAGCTGTTATTGTTGTTTAAAATGTCAAACATAATGCCTAGGATATAAAAGTGTCCAGGATGTGTTATTTTATTATATTTCTACTCCTGCTTCACGCCCTATCAAGCCAGCCTTGATCCCTCCTTCCAGAGTCAATAATTCTCTTCATAATGTTCTAACATAAAGTTCTAGCACTTCCTTTAATCTCTACCAGGTATTTACTTCTAGCTCAAGTTACGGTGAACTTAAGTCCATGCTTACTGGACCATTAAACAATAATCTTAAGCAGCAAAGGTTGGGCTCAGTAAAAGGCAAGCAAGCGTTCAGCATGTGTAGAGTGAACAGATGAATGAAATCACTGTTCTTTCCAAGAGCTTCATAATCACACACATGGCTACACACAACACTTCTCTCTAAAATTCACTGGCAGACTACCTGGATTCCTGTGTCACTGTATCAATTACTAGCAATATGTCCTTTGCTTTAATTTCTTCACCGGGATAAAGGGAACACTAGTAAATTACCACCCTACAGAATAGCAATAAGGATGAAACCATATGCCTAGCACATTAGAGTCACTTGAAAACTGTTGGCACTTATTACTATTGTTCATAATAACAATTTGTTAGCAAAGCACTAGCTCTTACTATATATACTCTATAAGGCCACTCTGGAAGCCCCTTGGTTTCTCAAGGTGCAGGGACTCCTATGGTCCTAACATAAAAATGCAAGGCCACTGTCTGGTGAACCAAACCAGTGGGCCTCGTTCCCCCTCAGGAGGTGAGCTCCTCCTGCAGCAGAGAAAATGATGCCTTGGATACAGAGGTGACTCTGTCATCATCAGCTCACCCTATTGCCTCAGCAGCCAATCATAGATGCCCCACTGCTGGAAACAGTCCAGCTAATTAGCTGTTTTAGTCAGGTAGTTCAGCTAATTAGCTGACCTAGTTTTCAAATTGCTCAACCCTTCCCTCTTCCTCAAAATGCTCAGCTTCACTGCACAGGAACAGAGTGGGAACCTGCCCCTTCACTCTTGTCTTATAAGATCCTAATGTAGAGTGGAGACATCTCTGCTTTGACTATCAGGCAGCTCCATCTGCCCGAGAGCAACCCCCATTAGCAAATGCACCACTCTCCATCAGCAAATTGCATGGCTTTGGGTTCCTAACAGACACCTATCAAATACCGACTTAAGGGCAGATGAGACATGACTCTGCCCTTTATAAGGTCACACACTATGCTATCAGGCAGACCACTACTGATAACAGAATTAAGATATGAATGCTGAACCCAGGAAAGAAGTCAGAAACTGCCTAATCTAAGTGCCTCAGTTTAACAGGAGGGAAGTGAAGCTAAAGAGGGTAAGTGATCACCAGAAGACCAGTAGTGCTCACACGTGGGGTAGGTCTCCATTTTGTGTCTCCCAGAGAAGGGACTTTCCTATTAAATAACTGTGGGGATCTCATCTCATCCTTTTCGCATCAGTCATACCTAAGCCTGAGAAGCATCTTTGGTCCAACAGTGTATAGCAGACCGGCTGCTCCTGGCCCAGAGCTTCCAAGGCTTGTCCTCGGTGGAACTTTTCAGACAAGATGTCAGAGGTGGGCTGGACCACTGGGGAAGAGCTCCAGGACATCTGACAATTATAAAATGCCAGGAAGCGGCCACTGCTGAAGTGTAGGACCAACCTGGGAAGAAGAAAAGATCATAAGCACACAGAGTGCCCACAATATTGTCAGGTCACACGTCCAAACAGCCCCCACTCCCATCAGGGTTAACCTGGGGAAGCTAAGGTCCCCCAAGAGAAAAGAGATCTTATATGCCAGAATCATACAAATTTCAGGGCTAAGTGGATTAATGAAAAGAAAACAGATAATATATAGCTCTTTGTTTTTCTGATAACAATATATGTTCACTGAAGACAACTTGGGGTGAACAGAAAGGCCCAGAGTTCAGGAGCTGTGGCTACCTGCACAAAACAGGGTTTATTGGAAAGAAAGACAGATGTGAAAGAGGCATCACTCCTAGTTTCAGGCAAGATTTACTGAGAAAGACACACCCAAACATACTCGCATGGGCTTCCTGAACCCCAAGGACAGAGGAGAAACCTTACGAACTTTGATAAAGAAATAATAGTTACTGTGTAAGGGAAATGGGGCTGGAACTGGACTCCACATTGGAAGGAGAGTGATATTCATGCAGCTGACCTGGATGATACTCTTCTGTGAAAGTAAAAGGGTGACTTTAAAGGAACAGGAACTCAGAAACATATATGCATAGTATCTGATGTGATTGATTAAATCAGCAAGGATCTCAAGACAGGGAGAGATGAAAAGGGCAGGCAAATAAGCAGCATTGGGTTTTGTAATATTTCTTGTGAGATCTAAAATGGATTAATTATGATAGTACAACTGAAAACTACAATACAAGTGCTAGGAAAGAATTATTTGAAACAAAATATACCTATTTTAATAAGTTTTTAAAATATATATATATTTTTTATTGATTTTAGAGAGGAAGGGTATGGGAGACATCAAAGATGAGAATCATTGATCGGCTGCTTCTTGCACGCCCCCTACTGGGAATTGAGCCTGCAACCTGGGCATGTGCCCTGACAGGGAATTCATAGGTCATTGCTCAGCTACTGAGCCACACTGGCCAGGCAATATGTTTTTAATTTATTTAGACATGATGGTCATTCCCAAGTCCCTAATCTAAGGCCCACACATACTGAAATAAAGGGGGGAAAGGTCAGAGAGTGGATAAAGTTAAGAAATCAGTACTGATAACACTCTCCCACATTTTGGGAAAACATGTTCCAAGGGCGTGGCTCTGCCTACACCTTGAGTTCAGCTGATGATAATTAAAGGTCATCCATGTGCATTCCCAAGGGGCCCTCTACTGAGAGGGGATGCTGTTTAAGAATGAAGCTGTAAACAACCTTACGAGTCAGGGAGCCCTGCTGCCTGGGACCATAGGTGAGCAAAACATACACACACACACACACACAAATGCTTAAAAAGACAAGAAGAAACTTTATAAAACCACGACTACTCTGAGGGACTGAAATGCTCCTCTTCCCATGTTGGCATATTAAGTATAGTAAACAAAAAATAAGCACGGACAGAGAGAAGTTGGATTATCAAAGCCATAAACCTATTCTTAACATTTAAAGATTGTTTGACTTTAGCCCTAACAGGTTTGGCTCAGTGGATAGAGCGTCAGCCTTGGACCAAAGGGTCCTAGGTTCGAGGGCATGTACCTTGGTTGCGGACACATTCCCAGTGGGGTTGTGCAGGAGGCAGCTGATCGATGTTTCTCATCAATGTTTCTAACTCTATCCCTTTCCCTTCCTCTCTGTTAAAAAATCAATAAAATATATTTTAAATAAATAAAGATTGTTTGAGTGAACATACTATCTTCATTTATGTACATAAAGTATAAGCAAAGGTCAATTGTGTGTTCAACTGCAAATCTCAATGCCAAAAGTGTAATCCAATAAAAATGATGACCAAACATTTGGACAATTGGGAAACACTTTTGGGGGGGAGGGGAAGGGAAGCATGGTTAATCCTCACCCAAGGATATTTTTCCATTTCATATCTGGAGATGAAGCCTCTGGAAGGTAATCTCAGAGAGCGCGGAAGGGGAGAGACACAGAGAGAAACATCAATGTGTCACATCGATTGGTTCCCTCCCACATGCACCCTGACTTGGACTGGGGATGGAGCCTGCAACTGAGATACATGCCTTTGACCAGAATTGAACCCAGGACCATTCAGTCTGTGAGCTGATGCTCTATCCACTGAACCAAACTGGCTAGCGCAGGAAATATTCTTATATAGAGAGTACATAGAATTAACATTATTTATTTGAAAGACCAACAATGTAGATAAAACTCTGGCAAGCCTAATTAAGAAAAAAGGGATGGGGAGACAATGTAATGTATAAAACATGAACAATGAGAAGGGAGACATAACTTGACAAGACCTGAAAAGTAAGAGAATGATTTGTGTTAACTCCATGCCAAATCTGAAAACCTAGGGGTGAGCTCTGTTAGTGGAAGGGCATTTAAATTCCCCTAGTTGGAGACCATTTCAGAAATCAGCCCTGGAGCCAGCTTCAGGCAGTGGGAGGTTTGCTGGGGGTTTCTGAGAAAGCTCTCCTTGTCAGGACATTCAGAAAGGACCTCCCTCTTCTTCTTTCTTTGTGTGCACATAAGGTCTGGAATTGCAGAGCCTCTTACTACCGGTCGAAGGACAAAACCAGCACGTGGAAATGTGCAAAGACAGGAGAATCACAAGAACCTCAAGCCAAAAGCTGGGAACAGAGATGACACCAAGGCCTACTCTCCCTCTTAAGTTTCCAATTATGTGAACAAAAAAAAAAAATCTCCTCCCACTTTAAGCCAGCCTGAGTTATTTTTACAGCCCACAGATCCTACTGGCCCGATAGCAGACCATAAATAAGGACTATAGTTCTGAGCATTAAAAAAAAAAAAAAAAGAGAGAGAGAGAGAGAGAGAGAGAGACTTTAGAAAATAGAAAAGCAGTGTGACTCAGGTGGAAGAGGCCTTCTTTAGTAAGAGGGGTCAGCTTAAGAGCTATCAATAAAAATATGGACTTAACGAGGTGATCACTTGGTAAGTTAAAGACATGTCAGATCACTATGTTGTACACCAGAAACTAATATAGTATTTGATGTCAACTGTAATTGAAAAATGAAAAAGCATTTAAAAAAAAATACTGACATTGACTACATAAAAATTAAAAAATCCTGAATGCCAGCAGGCAACATTGTGTCAAAGGACACACACAGGAAACCATATTGGGACCACACATCACAAAGGCTAATACCCAAGATCCAAAAGCTCCTACAAAGTGATCAAAAGCACACAAACAATCCAATGCTAGTGAGAATTCTGCGAAGCAAGCGAGCACCTTTGCAAGGCCTTAAGAATGGTCCACAGGAAGAATGCTCATTCTCTTTGACCAGCAGACTCCTCTGGATGTGTACAGTAAGGCAATAACCCTGAACATGGATAGAGTTTTAGGTAGACTCAACACTAATAGATTTAAAACTGGGATAATTCTGTCCCTAAATTCAGAGGGCACACGTCAAGTTGTCCAATGTTCTTCGGAGACCTCCACCCACCAGGACCATGTTCATTGGGAAGATTTCCCCCTTCGCTAAGCTGACCCAGGATGTGACCCTGCCTCTCTGGGTGCAGACCACAGTCTACTGTCTATGACAACAGACAGAGAAGTGTCTTCTCTCTCCTTGGATGCGGACTGCCAGAGAGCAGGTTGAATAGCCACCTGAGTGTGCCACACCCTGGGGGCCATGTTAATACTGCAGACCCCACAGAGATGCAGACAGACACAGCCCACAGCCCATTCCACCACACCATTACCTTGGAATGGGGTCCCTCCAGTCACCCCTCTTGTTTGCTTTCTTTGCTCTGGAGAATTCGTTCACCCAAACGCTGCCAAACAGACCAAAGCTGACCTGCAGCCACCTCTGAGCACCTCCTGCTGGGCTGTCTCCCCCCAAACACTCAGAATCATTGTCTCCACTGCCAGACTGGGAACACTGGTCTGAAATATTCTGGCTGTCAGGACCCAAGGTCTGTTTTAGGTCCCCAGCCTCTTTCTTCGTCTCTCCTTTTCGTAGAGGTTCTGGCAGTGGGTTGTTGCTGGGAGACTTGGTTTCTTCATCTGGATCAAATCTAAGGAATAATTTCTTTCCATGGACCTAGAAAAAAATAACATGATCTAAGCCTTTGCTTATAGATATGTTTGTACACTACCACCCCAGTTTAAACATATAAAATTCATGTGTTCAAACTGTAACTTGCAATGTGATGGTATCTGCAGGTGAAGTCTCTGGAAGGTGATTAGGTCTTGAGGGTGGAGCCTTCATGAATGGGATTAGTGCCCTTATAAAGGAGTCCCCAGAGAGTTCCCTTGTCTCTTCCACCATGTGAGAAAACAGGGAGATGACCATCTATGAGCCAGGTAGCTGAATCTGCCAGCACCTTGATCTTAAATTTCCAGCCTCCAGAACTGAGAAATAAATTTCTGGATTTGTAAGCCACCCAGTCTGTAGCATTCTATTATGGCAGCACAGACAGACTGAGGCTTACAGACCCAGAAAGGGGAAGACTAGAAGAGGTGTATGAGCCATGGTAACATGAGCTCACAAGAATGGGGGCAGAGTTGGAAGATAATAAGGAAAACTTGCTCAAGCAGGGGAGCAGCATGGCAAAGCCATGGGCGAGGAGGACTGTTAGAGGAGCTCCAGCACGTTCAATATGTTTGGAAGAGAGATCTGGGGCAGAGTCAGAAATGCGCTAGAGAGGGAGGCACCAGTCAGACCTAGAGGGAATTCTGACTTACACTCAGGGCAAAGGTGAGGCAGGTCGGAAACTCTTATCAAGAAGGCTCTGCTCTTTGCTTACGTCCTTGCTGGCCCCATGGGACTAAACATGGTTCCCAATCAAAGGTGCACCTCAGAGTCAGCTGAAGTGATCAGCATCTCCAGCTTGTATTTTTTACAATTCCATGGGCCACTGTAACGCCCACTTCTGGCTGAGAAGTATCAGACTGAAAGAGGAGCTGAACAGAGTCCTAGCATGGTTGTCTTGGGCTCAAGGAAGTGATGGCATGGAAAGTGCTGAGATAAATTACAGGGGAGGCATAAGGTATGCTCAGGGAGCCGGCCCACCTGTGGGAGGCATGACCACCAGAAGATGATGGACTCACCTGGGTGTCCTGGAACCACAGGGACTGGAAGCTGGCAGGGTTTAGCTTCTTGCTGCTGCCTCCTGTCTTGACCACCTGCTGCCCCACAAAAGGGGAGGTCAAATGGTGAAACTTCCTCACTGAAGGCCCTTCTGGCATCCCTGCAGGCGGAAATGATGTAGCTAGTTTCTCTCAAGCATCTCTGCTGGGTGTCAAGCTCTGAGCTTTCAAGCAGCTATTTTTTGTCACCAACTTTTAACAGTACATACGACCAAAAAGGGGGCGTGGCTTGCGAGGAGGGTCAGATGAAAGAGCAGAACCAGCTGAGCCAGCTTCCCAGGAAGGGTTTCCCCTTCCAGCTCCTTTCACCCTTCTTCATGTGGCAAACAATTCAGCACCCCCAGAGTGCCAGACAGCATCTCAGGGCACCCACTATTTTGATCCTGTGGCAGCTTAAACAGGAGCGGACCCTTGTTTCCTTTTGCCTGGGCTGTGGCCTCTAACTCATCTCCACACTTTCTCTGTCCTACTCCTTCCTCCCCCAAAACCAATCCAACCCACTGCTGCTCATTTATTCCCCCCTCCCCTTTTCAGGAAAGAGATGGTCACTGTAGGGAAAGCTGTAAGGGACACAAAGACACAGATTGTGAATCAGCCCTCCCAGGACCCCCTCACAATTCAGGGTGCTGTATATGTGACAAGTGCAGACACGGTCATGTGGGTTCAGAACAGGGAGAGGTCAATTCCAGCTTAACTACAAACATTTATCCCTGGTAATGGATAAACAGTTGGGGTTCCATTTTAACCATGAATCAAATCCCTGCTCCACATCACCCAAGTTCACTGAGAGCTTGTGAAGGAGGCATTCAGAGGTTTGAGTCTGAAAGGTCTGCATCCCAGCTTCTCAGACACAGGAGTACCTCCCCCTCTCCCTCTTACTCAGGACACACTGTTTAACTACCTGTTTTCTCACCTGCACGGGGACTCTTATAATTAATGATGAAAACCCAAAACTCTAAGTGGGTATCTGGCATGGTGGTAGCTAGTGTATTTCTGTAATTCTAAAAAACATTTTTAAATCCTTGAAATGGGGTGCCTCTTACAAGTAATGCTTTCTCATAGCTTAATTAGTAGCACATTCAATAATGTCTATTTTAAAGTTATGGTGTCTGAGAGTCACTAAAATGTAGTAATATTCCCCTAATCAGACTTTCAAGACACTCAAGAGTTTATAGGGACAAAACTGGGGACTTGCCCTAGCAGGTTTGGCTCAGTGGACAGAGCATTGGCCTGCAGACTGAAGGGTCCCAGGTTCGATTCCCATCAGGGCACATGCCTGGGCACATGCAGGAGGCAGCCAATCAATTATTCCCTCTCCTCATTGATGTTTCTATCTCTCCCTTTCCCTTTCTGAAATCAATAAAATATATTTAAAAAATAAATAAAAACCTGGATACTTGCAGCTGACCTTAACCTCTGCCAGCCTTCTGTGTCCTGGTCATCTCCAAAGGAGGAAGCTTCTGGAAAAGCCTCCCTCTGAAATGTACCTCGTCCTTAAAAGTACCTAGACCCATGGCATGTGTAAGTATATTTTTGGAGATGGAAAACTGAGCAGCAAATTGCCTCTACCGTAGCCTTAAAAGATTAAAACGAGAAGGGGCACATTTTTTTTTAACCCTTACTGGAGGATATTTTTCCATTGATTTTTAGAGAATGGAAGGGAGGAAGAGAGAAACATTGATGTCAGAGACACATAAGGATAAGTTGCCTCCAGCACGCCCTCCATTCGGTATGCAACTCAGGTATGTGCCCTTGACCGAAATCTAACCAGAACCAGTGACCCTCAGTCCGAGGGCCCCCGCTCTGTCCACGGAGCCCAAACTGCAGGGGCGGGACACAGATTTGACAGGGAAACTGCCCTCAAGTCCCCTCCAAGCCGACTAAGGGCCCGCAGTAGATCATTCTGAAAGCACGAGAGAGGGGGTAACCGTCATACTCTTTTCAAGGAAACTCACTCACTCTCGATGGGAGAGTCAAAAAAGATGCTCTCCCCAACTTTCTCGAGGGGAGGAGGGTGAGAGGTGGGCGCAGAGACAAGACTGAAAGGCCCTGAGGAGTCTCCTAGGAAATTCGGCCAGGGGTGCGGGTTCCATGCAGACGCTTCTAAAATTTTCGTAATTTGAGTTTTCCCGCTGATGACGAAGTGACGACAACGCGGCCAACTCGGGGCTGGGGGCACTCCGCGCCCCTCCGAGGAGGGAGCCGCCGCCTCTCCCGGCCCACGCGGCCCACGCGGAGGGCGGGCGGCTGCACTCACCGGCTCCGGCCGCAGCCCCGGGGCGGGGGCGAACGCTGTCCCGGGAGCGGGGAGCGGGGAGCGGGGCTCCAGCCCAAGGTGGGGAAGTGGGTGTAGCGGAAGGGTCCCCACGCCTGTGTGGACACGTGACTGTTTGGGGCGGGCGTACAGCGGGGCTCCGCCCCCCGAGTGTGCGCAGGAGGCGGGGCTCGCCTCCGTGGGTGGGCGGGGCTATGCGTCAGTCGGGGACGCCAGGCTCTGTGGGAGCTCGGCGCCTGGAGGGGCGGGGGGTCTATAGAGGGGCGTGGTCCATTAGGGGCGTGGCCCGGAGGGGCGGGGTCTAGCTCGGGGCGGGGTCGCCTTTGGTGGGGAGAGTAGGAGCTGCCGGTGGGTGTCCTCGAGTTCCGGAAGAAAGCGGGCGTGGGAGAAGGGCAGTCAGAGACTGAGAA